GAGATGGGGAGAGAGGGAAGGACAGAGAGTGAAGGAGGAAGAAAGAGAGAGAGAGAAGGTGAGAAAGAGAGAGTGAGAGAGAGACTGAGTGAAATAGACAGAGGGGAACAGAGAGGGAGAGTGAGAGAGAGAGAGGGAAGGACAGAGAAGTAGATCAAAGAGTGATACAAAAAGAAAAAGAGATGAAATAGTGTAAAGAAAGGGGGAAACGAAAGAAAAGAACGATAAAGGTAAGTGAAGAGAAGAAAGGGGAAAGTATGTGTACGTGAGAGAGACAGATGAGAACAACAAGAGGCAAGAGAGAGAAACAGTGACAGAGAGAAAGAAGAGAGAAAACAAAGGTGAAAAAGAGGAAAGAGTGAAAGAAAGCAGAAAAAGAAAAGAGAACAGAAGGAGAGAAAAGAGCGATTAAGCAAGAGAGAGAGACACGTTAGAAGAAGAGTGGAAGAACAGACAGGGGAAAAACAACAAAACAGAGACAGAAGAAAGAAAAAGAAGAAATAAGAGAGGAATAAAGAGAGAGAGAGAGAGAGGAGAGAGAGAGAGAGAGAGAGAGAGAGAGAGTCAGCAGCTCTATCTGCTGTTCTGTAGTCAACAGAGCTGCAGTCAGTGAGCGAGAGAGTAAAGTGAGGCCACAGCGCCCTCTGCTGGTAAATGTCAGTAAATAATGTAGAATATATTACATTTACATTTCCAGCATTTAGCAGACGCTCTACAGGAAGTGCTTTGTCTATCTAAAGTATCTTGCTAGTTACAAATGGGTTGGAGAGAGAGTCCATGTTGGTATCCAGAAAAAGGAACCGAGTTAAACACAGCGCAGTGCAGTACATCTCAACAAGTGCAGAACAACACATTACAATCAATACTAAACTCAGTGCTCATTTAAGTGCTGTATAAAGACACGGTCTTCAGTCTGAGTTTGAAGACCGCAGGAGACTCATTCCACCACCTGGCCTCCAAAACAGAGAAGAGAACCGCAATCTAAATGCGGTTGATTCCTCAGAAGTAAATAACGCTGGTCAGTGTCCACTGTTCAGCACCTGTTCACTCTGTGGGCTGTGGCTGAGTGTGATAACGGAGTGTATGGATGGATTGTGCACAATATAACTGAAGACACCTTATTTGTATGCGCACACTCGACTAGTAAGGCCTGAATGTCCTAAATCACAACTCGTGTAGGTTCACTGGTTCTGTACTGATTTAGCAGCACAGCAGATGGAAGAAGAACCGAGTCTGCACCAGCGTGGAACAACCCTGAGAACCGTTTGGCTGTAGAGCAGAAAAGAGGCCACAGTGTTTATTCCTGAGAGCCACTAAAGCCGGTACGACATCATTTCTCCAGGTGACCGTGGAGCGGGACTGGAGCCCAGTCTCTCTCTGGGAGATCCAGAGACACACAGCGAGTGTGAAATACCGCGACTGCCGTTCACGGGCACACGACCAGACCGGACCAGACCGGACCAGAATCGGCTCACATACAGCCTCTCACAGCAACAGGGCTGTCTCTGGACCGGGTTCAGCGCATTAGCTTAGCGAAAGAATCTGTCTTGGTGATTTAAGTGAAAGTCACTGCATAAAATCAAACCATTTTCTGTATTTTTTACATTTTCTGAGCTGCCTTTGTGAGACTGGACAGCAACATTACATATTAGCTTGATTTTAGTCACAGAGAACACAAGTAAACTCTTCTTCAAGTGCCTGGATACTTTAGAAACTCCTTTTCACAGAATATGACAGGGTTTTGTGCTCAGTGTTAATATAAACCGAGGTCATTTCCACAGTTTATTTTAGAAAAAGAGGGCAGATCTTTACTGATAAAGGACCGAGCAGTCTGCTAAAATGACTCACTTGGACTTGACTAAAATCACTGAGTGATGCCAGTAAAATGGACCCACCTCCTCCTGTAAGACTAATCCTGCCTAAATGGGGTTTTACAACAGAAGCTAATGAGCAGGTGCTCCGATGTACCTGTTTGGTTGATGTGCTGGAACAATCTGCTGCTCTGCTGAACAGAGTTTGTATAGTTTTCACAATGAAGTCAAAATAATGAGTTATTTTCTGTGTCAAAAATATTTCACTTATTTTCGTGATATTTTAAGTTATTCAGGGAAAATTAAAAAGAAATGACAAGGTGTGACAGGTGTGGTAAAGTGGTCATCCAAGCTCCGCCCACTCGGAAAAACATTACAGTATGGAAGGAAATGCATTGATATTTTTACTTCTATCTGACGATTTTAAACTGTTAAAATTCTGACGTACAATCTCAAATTAGAATTCTCATTTTTCATATTTTCTTGACATTTTGAGATTTAATTCCACCAAACTATGTCCAAAGTTATTTTCTCAAACCTTTTGCCTTATGAACTGAAGGCTTAATTTTAGTAATTAAGATGAGATTTTATTTTTTTTAAATGGACCTACTTTCTTGAGATTATAATCAATTAAGAACAAAATAATATATTATGTCAAAAGAATGAGTTATTCAATTTCAAAAGTCATTATTTCAACATAAAAATTTGGCAAACAGTTATCTTTTGAAGAAGGACAAAGAGCTCAGTGATGAGAAAGGTAGAGAATGAGTCTGAATCTGATCTGATCTGATCAGCTCTACTGTGTGATGCTTTATGAAAACAGGATCCCAGCTCAGCAGATTAAACACATATATATCAGCACTTATATTAAAATTAAACACGCATTACAGCTCCATCCTGAACAGCGCTGGACACTGAGAGGAAGATCAAAAGCAGAACTGAGCTCTAATGATCTGATTTTCTGAATGTTCTTCTTGTTTTTTTTTTAACCACAGGCTGATGGTCATCTCACTAACAGGTCAGGAGCAGACGGTCCATTAAAGAGTCCACAGTTCAGAGAGAAACCCACAAAGTATTTACCGCCTTCGCTGAAACCGGCTCAAAGAAGTCAAGCACTGATGGTCCCCTTCGCACGCAGGTGTGACAGGTGTGGAAACGTGGCCATCCAAGCTCCGCCCACTTGGAAAAACATGACAGTATGGAAGAAAAATGCACTGTTTTCCGATTCACATTAAGACTCATCTTAAAAGAGAACTGCATTGCTTTCCAAACTCGCTGTAATTAAGTGGTTAAGATGTAAACAGAGTGGTTTGGTGTGAAACGCTCTGTTCTAGATAAACTTACAGAGTCAGAACTGTTCACAGTGGTGGTGATAGGAACCAGACGTCCACCTCTAAAAGCTCCCTCACAGAAAGTTCCTACATGAAATGGTTATGAATTCACAACGTTGCTGTGAGGATTTGATTGAGCATTAGTGAGGTCAGGTACTGATGTTGGATGGTCAGTCTTGGATCACTCCAACTTATAGACGGGCAGGATGATGGCATTTTATTGTTATCTTGACAAACTGTAACACTTTTCTGAGCATATTGTGGATATCGAGTACTTAAAGAACACTGACCGACTGTGTTTCATTACAGAGTGAGCATAATTAGGCCTGTTTAACTGGATGCAGTGCAGCGCAGTTTGTAAAACATTCAATATCACTGGACACACCCCAAGAGATGGTTCAAGGGTTCTTTAGTAAAGGAAATGGTTCTATATAGAACCATGAACACTCAAAGAACCATTTGCATGCTTAAATGGTTCTTTCCATGATGAAATGCTTCTTCAGATTGGTGGAGCATGCGCCGCAGATGGTTCTATAATAAAACAGTTCTATTGTATACTCTTTAAAAAGAGGGTTCTTCAAGGGTTCTTTAGTAAACAGTTCAATATAGAACCATGATTTAAGCGTTCTTCAGATTGATGGAGAATGTGTTGTAGAGGGTTCTACATAGCAACAAAAAATATTTTTCGATTGATACAAGCTTATAACAAAGTAGAAGCCTTTTTGAAAAAGGTTCTATACAGAACCATCTACAGCACATTCTCAAACCTGGACACTTTCATGATGCAAAGAACCCTTTAATCATACAAAGGGGTCTTTATGTGTTCATGGTTTTATATAGAATCTTTAGAACCCTTGCAGAAGCATCTTTAAGAGTGTACAGCATAAAAACTTTTGGTGCTATCTGGAAGCATTTTTAAAAAGGTTCTATGTAGAACAACCTACAGCACATTCTCCATCAATCTGAAGAACTCTTTAATTATGCAAAAAGTTCTTTGAGTGTTTGGTTCTATATAGCTCAATTTTCTTTGCTGAAGAACCCTTGAAGTACCATTTTTAGAGTAGTTATAGGTTTTACTATATTCTCATGTAGCACTCAAGGTTCTATTTTGTCTGTTAGAACTTTTTAAACCTCAGAACAAAATATGATGCATAACGTGAAAATGTCTGAAGTATGGCGATATTTGACACTCATCCCTTTTCCAGCTCATCCCAAAAGTACTGGATGGAGCTCCATCACTCCAAAGAACACATTTCCACTGCTCCACAGCCCAATCAGGTGTCCAGATACTTTTGGACAATTTCTTTTCTCCAGGGTATATTTGTTTTTCCTATCTGAATTAACTCACCCAAATCATAAAGCAAATTATTCAGTAATTTTTTGTTTTTGTAGAAGTTCCCCTTCAAAATTTAACGTGTTTGAGATCCAGTTTACAGTTCGGATTTCTGGAAAAATGGGTCGACTTTCAGTAGAAAAAAACTGAGTTCAGCTTCTTTCATTATAAGGGTTTAAAATGACATCACCCATCTATTTGACTGGAAAGAAGACAGCTACAGCTCTCGTAACACCCACTTTCTGAATGTTGCTTATGAAATACTAACGTTATTAAGTAAAGAATGACAAAAGTGCGTTTTGGAACCACCGGTGGATCCAAGGAGTTAAAGGGGTTAACTTAACATTTTTATTTCCACAAGTGGAAGGCTGCAAACTACTGACCGAATGCTCCTCTGGAGACATTTGACCAAAATGCTGAATATTACTCGCCCATTCCAGCTGCCAGCTTCCTCAACCACCCTTTAAAAGACTTTTGACTGAAATCTGCACACATTTCACTTTAAAAAACATCCACACTAGACGCTTTTGGTCCACTGAAAACTGGTTTTATTTGTTGGCGCCTTTACATGGTTTAGAAAAAGAACCCTAGGATTTTTCCTCCTGTGTGTTTTCGTCTAGCCTCTTCGTGGTCCATGATGCCAGCTGAGGTCGTCAATACAATGAACCTGCAGAGGAGAGAGAACAAAGGAGTAATCAGTGAAACGGCCCAAATAAAATGGACGAATTAGAGCTACTCAATAACTCAGGAGGCTGTAAATAACTAAATAAGCACATTTTTGCACAGTTGACTTCTATGAAGTGAATATCGGGGAAAATCAATGAAAACCTTTTGCATTTTGCTCTGAGAAACATGAAACTGTTATAATTTGAACAGCCAGCGAAAGAAACTGCTCCAGCACTCAACAGAAAATGGAGAAATAACTGCTGCAAATCATCGTCGATTGAATCAATAGCTCTCCGAGCGCACTGGGGACTGACAATGCAGCAAAATATACAAAGCAATTCTGCCCTGAATAATGAAGAAAGCTTTCAGATAACAACCCGTTAGCTTCTGAATGACTTTACCAGTATCGGCTTGAATAAATAAATTTGATAAAGACCAACCAGTCGGGCAAGAGAACCGCGGTGTGCATCAAACTGCATCTGGTCAGACGTCAATATCCAAGTGCTTAAGACCCATTTAAACCCCGTCCTCACGGCCTCTGACTGACCAACTCCTCTGGACGCTGGAGAAAGCTTTGGATTTACAACTGTAAACACCTTCAACACTAAACCTTTTCACCAGCTTGTCAGCGGATCATTAAGGAAAATCAACCATGGTCAATCTGCCATGTTTGGACCTGTTTAACATAAGATTCAAATCAAAAATAAACAGACCACAGCTGTTCAGACGGAGACCAACACAGCCAAATGAGTAATATTTATACAGATGAATAATAAGCAGCCCACTGTAATCAAAGCAGACATGGTCAATGACTGCTTGCATGTAAAAGCCTCCTGAGGATCAATTAGTCATGATTTTCATCCAGAAAATCACAAAGGAAACCAGAAAAGCCAAAGGTATAATTTTCCCCTGTTACTTAAAAACAATGGTTCTTTAAGGGTTCTTTAGTAAAGAAAATACTTCTATATAGATCCATGAACACTCAAAGAACTCTTTGCATGATTAAAGGGTTCTTTGCATTGTGAAACGGGTCTCTAGGTTGACTAAGAATTTGCTGTAGTTGGTTCTATATAGAAAAATGTAGAAAAGGGTTTCTTCTATTAACAAAGCTAACAAAACCATCCTTTTCAGTGCTATATAGAACCCTTTACAAAAATATTCTGTATGGAACCATCTACAGCACGTTGTCCATCAATCTGAAGAACCCTTTCACGAGGCAAAGAACCATTTAATCAAGGTTTTGAGTGTTCAGGGTTCTATATAGAACCATATTCTTTACTGAAGAACCATCTTTTTTACAATACAAACAGGCTAGGCAAGAGAACACAAACCCTAGAGGAGGAGTGGGGAACCAGGGCCAGAGTCCAGCACAATTTAGGGATTTTCCTGCACTACACACTTTGAGGTTCTTTAGTGAAGGCAATAGTTCTACGCAGAACTGTTAAACGCTTAAATGGTTCTCTGCCTGGTGAACTGGTTCTTCAGATTTAGTAAGTGCTGTATTTGAAAATGGTTCTATATAGCACCAAAAAAGGGTTCTGCTATTGTTACGATGTCAAGTTTGTAACAGAGGAACCCTTTCTGGTACTACGTAGATCCATTTTCAAAAACATCCCATACAGAACCATATAAAACACGTTCTCCATCAAGAACCATTTCATCACGCATACAGCTTGTTCTACCAAAGAATCCCTGCATAACCATCTTAAGCGTGTGGCACAATGAAGTGCTGGAAATGTCATCGGCAAAATAGAAATTAAATAGAAAAAAAAATTCACTTATCTTGTGCGCACACATTGAGTGTTTACGAAAGTTAATACTTCCAATCAGCAGTGATCCGCTCGATCTCTGAATGGATCATGTCTTAATGGTTTCATTTGTTCACTTAACTGTGATCTACATTAGGCTGTCGCATGGTCATAACATTAAGTGTGAAACCATATCGGGATGTTTGGAGCAGCTTTTGAATCAAAGTATGAAACTTTAAAAAAAGTCTTAAGTCAGATAAAAGTGGCTGTTCAGGTCTTTTTGGCCAAAATAACACGCCTGAACTTCTATTCACAGAAAATAACCAACTTAAATCACAGTCAATATCAGAAAAATCGCAATTAGATATTTATCCCAAATTGTTCAGCCCTAACAATGCAAATATATACAAGAGTTGAACAAAAGCAGTATCAGATGCTTTTTGCTTTGGTCTAAAACAGTGATGTCCAATCTTACCCACAGAGGGCCGGAGTGGCTGCAGGTCTTCATTCCACCAAAGCAGGACTGCACATGATCAGTTGTTTGAAGGCTGAGCAACTGATTAAACAAGTGGAATCAGGTGAGCTCCTGCTCATTTGGAATGAAAGCCTGCAGCCACCCCGGCCCTCTGAGGATAAGACTGGACAGCCCTGGTCTAAAAGCACAGCTTGTCTGCTTATTGCTCCAGAATAACCACTGAGGCTCATATCAGAAAAATACATCTAGACCAGTGCTTCCCAACCCAGCCAGAATCCACCCGACAGTCCATGTTTTCTGCTCAATCCCAGCCTCCAACACACCCGACCCAAGAACACTGAGTATCTGATACAGGTGAACTGGCTGTTGAGTTAGAGACAAAACATGGAATGTCTGGCTGAGCCCAATAACCAGGTGAGCATAGGGGTCACCAATCTTCTCCACGAAGAGCTGGAGTCGGGGGAACCAAGCAGGAAAACACAGCATAACTGATCAGATATTTAACGACTGAGATAAACTAGTGGAGCTTCTGCTTCTGACTGGAATGAAATCCTGAAGCCAAATCAGCCCTTCGGAAAAAACGGGAATCCCACGCTCCAGCACGGACCGAGCTGACCATCCACAAAAATAGAATGAACGTACAAAGCACACTCGCTCATATTTCAGCCCTTGAACCCACCAGCACTACAACAGTTTTAAAAACTCTTTATAATTAGCTGGTTAAGGTGTAAAGTGTCATTCAGAGTGGTTTTGTGTTAAACGCTCCAATCTAGTGAAACTTAACGAGTTAATTCACTGAAATCGTACTTGCATTATGGGTCAAAAAAGTCGCAATCGGATATTTTGCCAAAATCGTTCAGCCCCACCCTGATGCTGAATGTAATGTCTTGAGTAGCCCTCAAACATTAATGAACATCAACAGCTGGAGTTTCAGTTCATCTATTTATTTTAAGCCTCTCAAATACCTGAGGCCTGAAGAAAAACCCAAGAACGAAAACTATGATTCATGTGCAAAACGTAAGACATGGGCCAGTTCAACTGTCAAACCACCCCTCAACATTTAATAATCAGAAAAAGCCTAATTTGATCTGACTTCTTTGCAAATCAAATGTGTAAGCAATTAAGGCAGCATTTCCTTCTCAGCTGTGTAGCTAGCAGGGTGGACATGTCCTGAAAAGGGAAACAAGACCAATATTGCACATTTGCAGCTCCTGGAGTGAATTAAAGTGGAATTTTACCATTTTTGGGGAAAAAAGACAATTAAATGACTGAACGACTGTTTACAAATTAACAATTGAACTATACAATATTATTGAAAAAAAATAAAATAAAATCAGTGAAATGGTGCAAGCTAAGCTATTAGATAATACATAGAGTCTCCAGAAGAACTTCTGAAGCAACAGCACCTCATATTCAGTGAGAATAAGCATTTCTAACACTCACCCAAACTGTCTGGATGGGAGGAGATTGTTCTGCCACTTCTCCAGATCCTTCAGCTGCACATCAAACCTTGGGCTGATGACACCGCACTGGACACACAGGACAAACTCAATACATGTGCACTGCTGTATCTGGAAATTAAGTTATCCGCAAAACCTCCACACAAACTCGAAGCACACCGAAAACCTTACCTTGTTCAGCCTGCCAGTGAGGTTCACCACGATTTTCCCGGCTCTGTGATCATCAATGATCTCAAATTCGCCAATGTAACCTGGAGGAACATCAGACAATCATTAGACGACGTGGAGAGCACCAAGCTCAGTCCTAGTCCTGCAAAGCTCTCACTTCCCAGTCCAGATGTGGACCAAGGACATGAGCACTTAAGACCAGACGATTCAGAACAAACAAACAACTTTCACACCTGTCACTGAAGCTGCACTCCTGCTACACCTGAATATTCAGGGCTGGGTTTCCCAAAAGCACCTCATGCAAAGATGATTGTTGAATGGTAGAACAAACACTGAATGGACTCTCTGACCCATAAGACGATCCTGACACCAAGATGCTTTTGGGAAACGGCACCCAGACAAACACATGAGCTACTTATTGGAGAAGGCAAGCCAGTGCAGGAAGACGTTCCACTCCAAGCCCAAGACTGGGACCTGCAAAAGAGGACCAAACCACAGACTCACCGTGCTTCATCATGACGGTGAGGAAGCGGACTATGACTTTGGAGCAGGGCCTGATCAGGACCTGCCGCTTCCCCCGTTTCTCTGCATTGTTGATGCTTTTCAGGGCATCGGCGAGCACGTTCATCCGCACCATGGTGCCTGTGAACACAAGCCGGGGTTAAAACACCACGACACAGACAGAAGGAACATCCAGACACAGCTGCTATACCTCCCCACGCTTATTCAGACCCAAACAGTTCAGTGAATCCTCATTGTCCACATGCTGTCCTGCGTTCTGCAGCTCATGGCTTCACTAAATATGGAGGCGGACAGCCTCTATACACGGTAGCGTGTAGATCCGCATGGACACAGACCAGGCAAAGGCAATGAAGGCAGGTAGGATTCAGTGAACCGTTTACAGCCCAACAGTCCGGACCAAACAACCCCCGCCCGCTTCGGCTCCTTCAGACAGACACACCACCGAGCGAACACACTGCCTTTCACACAAACCTGAAGCTCAACAGGCCTCCTAACAGCACTGTGACCCCTAAACACACTGTTTTCCGACACCTAATGTTCCCACAGCTCCTCTACCGCACATTACACGCACTGATTCCCAGGTGAAGGTACTTTTTTAGCTCGACCGGCCGCTGAAATATCGCGACCAGGCGAACCGGGAACCACAGACTATCAGGTAAAATCCACCTCCATACAAAACACCTATAATCGAAATATCCGGCCGATATGACACTGATATTATTCACAAACGCGTCCCCGCAGTTAAACCGTGCTTGTGTGTGGAGATGAGAGAGATTTTGGCGGATTTTCTGAAAGACTCGGAGCGGCTCTGCCTTACCAGCTCTGCAATATGGCGGAAAGAGGGAGGACGCAGGCGCGCGAGCCGCTAAGGGCCGGGCGGGAGTCTCGCGAGAGCGGTGTGACGCGAGGACGCGGAGTGCGCCGCGCTTCAGCGACGAGCGCCGCCCGCAGGTGGGGGGTGTGAAGGTCGGCTGCTTCAGGACGTTTTAATGATGACAGATAGATAGACAGACAGACAGACAGACAGATAGATAGATAGATAGATAGATAGACAGATGGCCAGACAGACAGACAGACAGATAGATCTTTATTGATTCCGAAGGGAAATCGCAGTGTTTCAGTAGCAACACATATAATTGCACATAAACTTACATAAACTATGCAGAAAAATAGAAAAAAGAAATAAATCTAGACAGAAATTAAAGTACAAGAGAAATAAAATAAAAGTATATCTATTTGCATATTTACATGATATATGAGACAGATTTGTTGTATTTACAAAACAGCAGGCACTGAGTGGTATGAGGTAAACTAAAAGCACAGATTATAGACATAACTAACTCGGAGTTGCATCAATATTACAGTGTAATAATAATAATAATAACAACAACAATAATATCAATAATAATAATAATAATAATAGTAACGATAATATTAAATATGGTAATAATGACGTGTAATTTTGATGTGTGAGAACTAAACGGTGAAAAAAGCACTCACTATTATGTGCCACAGTTATTTATTCATTCAGTTGTTTTATCCTCGTTACATAGGCTCCAGCACCCCACCGTGACCCAGAAGGATAAGCGGTTTAGATGATGTATGTATGTATGTATGTATGTATTCTCATTACAAAAGCAACATGATACCATCCCAAAATAAACATTTTACATACCGACAATTATTATTATTATTATTGTTGTTGTTGTTGTTGTTATTTACTATGTGTAGTTATGAAAATTAAGCTATGGTCATATTCTATTTAACTTAATGTTTAACACTATCATATTATTATATTATTATTATTATTATTTATTATTATTATTATTTCTATTATTATTATTATGTACTACATGTGGTTGTTAAGTAAGCTATATTCATGTTCTTTTCAACTTAAATGTTTTAATTCTATGGTATCTACACCAAAATGCGGTACATGCCTGCCCATCTTATTGACCTTACGATGAATAAAGTGTTTTCTAATTCTGACTGATAGACAGATAGAAAGATTAAAGGGACGCTCTGGCTAAAATGCAAATTTTAACCATATGTTTACACTTGTGTTGAAAACCTACACTTAGATTTATTTCTTTTTTCTATTTTTCTGCATAGTTTATGTAAGTTTATGTGCAATTATATGTGTTGCTACTGAAACACTGCGATTTCCCTTCGGAATCAATAAAGATCTATCTGTCTGTCTGTCTGTCTGGCCATCTGTCTATCTATCTATCTATCTATCTGTCTGTCTGTCTGTCTGTCTGTCTATCTATCTGTCTGTCTGTCTATCTATCTATCTATCTATCTATCTGTCTATCTGTCTGTCATCATTAGTGAAGAAAATGGTTCCATATAGAACCACGAACACTCAAAGAACCCTTTGCATGATTAAAGAGTTCTCTGCAGTGTGAAATGGTTCTTCAGACTGATGGAGAATGTGCCAGGTGGTTCTATATAGCACCAAAAAAGCGTTCTGCTATTGTTACAAGCTTGACGTCGTTCTGTATGGAACTATTTCCTTTACTGAAGAACCCTTAACCGTTTTTCAGTACCAATATCTGCACATATTTATTCAGTATTGTCATTATCTGCTGTTACCTGAGCCTCCTTGTACAGTCATTACTGCACTGCCTTTATCTCAGGATGGATCTATTACGTATTTTTTGTATAATTTTAGTTGCCTGTGTTTTTATTTATTTATTTATTTATTGTATTCTCCCTTTTATTATTTCACCCTTATTATTACTGTCCTGTGTTGTGTGACTGCTACTGGCTGCTAAATATCCTTCAGGATCAATAAAGTATCTATCTATCTATCTGTGTTAAAGAACCATCTTTTTAAAGAACCTTTAAGAACTTATCTAAGGCTGGGAGGACAGTGTTTTGGACTGGATGTTTGGGGATGAGCTGTTTGAAGTGTTTTCTTTTCTGCTAGCTGGCTGATGCAGAAGGAGGCTAGATAGCCAACGTTACTACTAAGGAGCTGAATATGACGCCTGTATTTGTTATGTATATGTTGTATTTATCAGCCTCTGCCTCTGTCAGTCAGGATTTCTTTGTCATTGTGGGGTGATTCATGGCTGTATGATGTGTTAGTATGGTGGTGTCCCGCTACCGACTCGCACTGCCATAGTCCACTGTAGTCCTGGTCATTCTGTAGTCCTCCTTATGCCCATATTAGGAACTCCGGGTCTGAGATCCATTTCTCTATGGCCAGAATGAATAGGTTTTATGAAAAATCGCCTCTATCGCCCCCTGTGTTAAATAAACATGTTCAGAACCCGACACGTTTAGTCCTGTGAACATTCTCCTCTCTAATATCACTGGATCCTCTGAATTACAAGGTCGTAATGAGCTATAATACTAATATTGCTACATGCGAGCTAAAGCTACTGCGCATCAATTTGATGTCACCAAGCTACATTAAACTAAGGCAGGCTGTGCTGGTGCTCTGTCGAGCTGTGCTACCTTATCAAAATGTTCTACCATAGCGCATAATTACAGGTAAACCCGTAAATAAACCTCTAGGTGGGATATTTTGATAGACTAAAACTCCTTATTAAAAATACTACCAGCATTAAAACTACGAGGCTGAATTTAGCTGCTCTTTTCACAGCTTCTTGTTTGAATGTTCCCGTTCCACCTTAAATGGTGCAGCAGCTGTGACTAGCTATCACAAACATTAGCAAGCAAGACAAAAGACTGATCTGTTAGTTCGGTGAAACAGCAAAAATAAGTTAATGTTACTCAGCTGTTAAGTGGAAATAGAGAAACCTCCTCATATCAGGCCTTTCAACCCTCCATGAAGCTGAAGTCAGCTTTTTTCTCCGGCTGCTTGTTCGAATTTTCCCGTTCCACCTTCAGAACGTGACTGCGGCACCGTTTAAGGTGGAACAGGAAAAGTCTAACAAAAAGCTGGCGAATGTCCTGAGAAAATGTCCTAAGAAAAATGTTCCCAGCATTAAAATAATAATGAGGATATTCTGAGAGCCTAAATCAGTTTATCAGGGTGAGCAGTGATATTAAGCTGAGTCTGTACCGGATCAGCCCGAGTTCAGGTTCGTTTGTAGATCTTTTCAAATCAAGCTGAAAGGAAAGATCTATCATGAAGAACAGAGAACTGCAGGGAAACCTGCTGATTTTCTTCTGACTCCTCAGTCTGAACATGGAAATGTACACTGATAGAGAGTGATTAAGGAAGCTGCCAGTCTAATGACGTGCATTCAGAGTGCAGTAGCTTTAGCTCACATGTAGCAATATTCATATTTCAACTCTTTAACAGCCTCGTAATTCAGAGGATCCAGTGATATTTGAGAGAAGAACATTCACAGGACAGAACATATCGGGTTCTGAACATGTTTATTTAACACAGGGGGCGCTAGAGGCGCTTTTTTTTCGAAAATTCTATTCATTCTGGCCATAGAGAAATGGAGCTCAGACCTGGAGCTCCTAATACGGGCATAAGAGCGCCGACTACAGAATGACAACACAACTACAGTGGTTTGTGGGAGCGCAGGAGGCGTGGCCACGCAGAGCAGCGATGTGTACAGGCACTCGGGAGGTGCTGCAGTAAAGAGACATTCATTGTAAATAAGCTTAGCTTGATGATGTGCACGTGTTATCTGTGCTACTCTGTGCTGGGTGGTGGGGTGGTGGGGTGGGTTTGTTTGGTGTCTACTATGAAGGAGGAGGTATGTTTGGAAGTGGCCTGCATGTCATCTCGGCCATTTCAACAGCGCTGAGCGGCGGTTCTCTCTTGCTGGCTGTTCAATAGAAGAGCATTCGCCTTTACAGTGCAGTATTTCCTGCATCATCTTCTTCACTGACGCCACAGTATAATACAGTCCTGCAGCGAGAGAAACAAAACAGGGTGCAAAATTGTGGATTCTCTCACATTGATGAGTCTGAGGGATACAATGCGGAGCTATAACCAAACATGGCAAATAAAAAGAGACCTTTGTTTGTCCCACAACGGGGAAATTTCACCTCCGCATTTAACCCATCCGTGCAGTGAAACACCACATACACACTAGTGAACACACACACACTAGGGGGCAGTGAGCACACTTGCCTGGAGCGGTGGGCAGCCCTATCCACAGCACCAGGGGAGCAGTTGAGGGTTAGGTGTCTTGCTCAAGGGCACTTCAGTCACGTACTGTCAGCTCAGGGAATCGAACCTGCGACGTTCCGGTCACAAGACTGGTTCCCAAACCTCCAGCCCACGACTATAATGCTAGTTTTAAGCCCACTTCAATATTTGCACAGAGGGACCCCAGCAGCTGGACTGGGGAAACACTGGTCACAAACACTTTACAGCACAGTTCTGGAGAAATACCAATGGCCTACCAACAGCTAATGTCTGTCTCTGGTTAGTTTCATAGTCAATGTTTCATGAGAAGCACAGCATTTGGGGCTTCTAGCCACCTCAGGAAGGTTCTGTGTATTACATCAGTGGTTTTCCAGCCTTACTTCACATTTATTAGTGAAGTACACAGCAGTTCCTTTCAGCGCAAAACAGAGTTGGGACTTTTAACTGACTTGAACTTTAAAATCCTTTTGCTCTGAGTGACCCTACAACTTAATCATGTTTACTTTATTAAAACAATTATTGAACATTTCATTTTGTCACGCATCACTGCTACTGAGTGCTGATTGGTTAGCATTACTGCTACTGAGTGCTGATTGGTTAGCATTACTGTTACTGGGTGCTGATTGGTTAGCATTACTGCTACTGAGAGCTGATTGGTTAGCATTACTGCTACTGGGTGCTGATTGGTTAGCATTACTGCTACTGAGAGCTGATTGGCTAGCATTACTGCTACTGAGAGCTGATTGGTTAGCATTACTGCTACTGGGTGCTGATTGGTTAGCATTACTGCTACTGAGAGCTGATTGGTTAGCATTACTGCTACTGAGAGCTGATTGGTTAGCATTACTGCTACTGAGCGCTGATTGGGCAGCATTACTGCTACTGAGAGCTGATTGGTTAGCATTACTGTTACTGGGTGCTGATTGGTTAGCATTACTGCTACTGAGAGCTGATTGGTTAGCATTACTGCTACTGAGTGCTGATTGGTTAGCATTACTGCTACTGGGTGCTGATTGGTTAGCATTACTGTTACTGGGTGCTGATTGGTTAGCATTACTGCTACTGAGAGCTGATTGGTTAGCATTACTGCTACTGGGTGCTGATTGGTTAGCATTACTGCTACTGAGAGCTGATTGGCTAGCATTACTGCTACTGTGTGCTGATTGGTTAGCATTACTGCTACTGAGAGCTGATTGGTTAGCATTACTGCTACTGAGTGCTGATTGGGCAGCATTACTGCTACTGAGAGCTGATTGGTTAGCATTACTGCTACTGAGCGCTGATTGGTCAGCATTACTGCTACTGAGAGCTGATTGGTTAGCATTACTGCTACTGAGAGCTGATTGGTTAGCATTACTGCTACTGGGTGCTGATTGGTTGGCATTACTACTACTGAGTGCTGATTGATTAGCATTACTGCTACTGAGAGCTGATTGGTTAGCATTACTGCTACTGAGAGCTGATTGGTTAGCATTACTGCTACTGAGTGCTGATTGGGCAGCATTACTGCTACTGAGAGCTGATTGGTTAGCATTACTGCTACTGAGCGCTGATTGATTAGCATTACTGCTACTGAGAGCTGATTGATTAGCATTACTGCTACTGAGAGCTGATTGGTTAGCATTACTGCTACTGAGTGCTGATGGGTTGGCATTACTGCTACTGAGTGCTGATTGGTTGGCATTACTGCTACTGAGAGCTGATTGGTTAGCATTACTGCTACTGAGTGCTGATGGGTTAGCATTACTGCTACTGAGAGCTGATGGGTTGGCATTACTGCTACTGAGAGCTGATTGGTTGGCATTACTGTTACTGGGTGCTGATTGGTTAGCATTACTGCTACTGAGTGCTGATGGGTTAGCATTACTGTTACTGAGTGCTGATGGGTTAGCATTACTGCTACTGAGTGCTGATTGGTTAGCATTACTGCTACTGAGCGCTGATTGATTAGCATTACTGCTACTGAGTGCTGATTGGTTAGCATTACTGCTACTGAGAGCTGATTGGTTAGCATTACTGCTACTGAACACTGATTGGTTAGCATTACTGCTACTGAGCACTGATTGGTTAGCATTACTGCTACTGAGTGCTGATTGGTTAGCATTACTGCTACTGAGCACTGATTGGTTGGCATTACTGCTACTGAGTGCTGATTGGTTGGCGAGTGGAGCATCTCATTGGCTGTTTACGCTCACTGACGTCATGAACGTACATGAGGCGCCGAGTTTAAAAGCTCTTAAAAATATAACAGTGGTGTTAAAATGTTTTATGCTGCTCTGTGTTCAGGAAATGAATGAATTCTTTTACGTTAAAATGTTTAAACATTTATAAACTATGATTTTGCTCAGATGCTCCATATCAACCCATTCATTTTGGACTCGCTCGGGAGCGCCCTCTAGCTTCTGAGAAACCCGGAAGACATTACAGAGTGGGAATTCTCCTCTCTGCAGGTTCTCTGGTCTTACCGTCCGCCATGATCTGATCTGTATGTCATGCGCACTGATGCGCGATGAGATGAAGATCGGCGCAGGTCCGAGTGCGCATGCGCCGTCCCCTTCCACCCCGTCGTCAGGCTGGACATAGTTAGCCATATGACAGCGAGCCGCTCACTAAGAGCCGCTGTGTTTGATTAAACTGGTTAACTGGTTCGCCTCATTGATGACTGTCTAGATCGTAAAAGGCTGACGCGTCAACTGAGCGCATCCGCAGCGCGAATCCTCTGATTATTGATCAGTTTCAGCGCCTGGAGGGCGATGTTTACCTCTCAGACCTCCTCCTTCCAGGAGTCTATAGATGTGGAGGAGAAGGACGCGGACTTCGACAGTGAGGAACTGACCGCCTACAGTCCGAAGACCCAGCACATCAGCTCTTACTACTCCATATATTACTATCAGAACACCAGGTGAGACGTTTCATAGGTTACCGTCCTGTTCGGCTGCTTCTCGTTCGAATTTTCCCGTTCCACCTTAAATGGTTCAGCAGTTTCGTTCTGGCGCTGGAGCCTAACTGCTGCACCACTTAAGGTGGACTGGGAAATTCGAGTACGTTAAGGTGCATGATCCTACATACTTGAATAAAAAGGTGCTGCATGGGTTACTTAGAAAAGACAGCTGTTCTATTGAAAACCATTCCGTGCTTAAAGGGGAACTCCACTGATTTTTCAAAATTGCCCCATAATTCAGTGTGTGAGGTGTAAACAGAGTGATTCAGAGAGGTTTGGTGTGAGATGGTACGGATGTCTTTACAGTGGTGGTGATAGGAACCAGGGGTCGCCATGACTACAACACAAATATAGACATTTTATTTACTATCCAGAACCACCAGTGAACCTACACGAGTCTTCTGAGTTTATATGGAATGTTGATGATGGAAAATAGAGGAAAATCTGAAATAATAAGCTTTCTTTGCGGACTAAATATGATTGAAATCTTCTCAAATTATCATGAAACAGTGTCTCAGTCATCAGGCAGTGAATTCATAACCATTTCATGTAGTAATTTTCTGTGAGGGAGCTTTTAGAGGTGGACGTCTGGTTCCTATCACCACCACTGTGAACAGTTCTGACTCTGTAAGTTTCTCTAGAACGGAGCGTTTCACACCAAACCGCTCTGAACCACTCTGAACCACTCTGAACCGCTCTGTTTACATCTTAATCTTTTAACTAGACAAAAACTTTGGGTCTGTCCATCATTATAGTAGCACATGTGTTCTGTATACAATACAAAAAAAAACTTGGTTTAAAACTATGAATTCTATATAGAACCATTTGCATGCTTAAATAGTTCTTTGCATGGTGAAATGTTTTTTCAGATTGATGGTTGGTTCTCTATACCACCAAAAAGGGTTTTTCTATTGATACAAGCTTGACATCATAACAATAGCAGAACCTTTTTTTGTGCTTATATAAGGTTTTAGATAGAATGTTTTCGAAATATATACACATTCTCCATCAGTCTGAAGAACTGTTCCCAAAGGAAATAGGGGAATGCCACTGTTGTTTTTTTATTTTATTTTATTCTCCATAATTAAACAGTTAAGATGTAGTTAGTTTGGTGTGAAATGCTCTGTTACATCTCATCCACTGTAATATGCAGAAATTGTAAAAGATTGGTGGAGTTCCCCTTTCAGTCAGTGATAAGCCTCTGTGCTGTGGCAGCATAAGAAATATAGTTAATGCATATTAATATCTCTGATGTTTCCCAGCTCTTGTCCTGTACTAGATGACAAACACAAAACGCTGGTCCATACGGTCCGTTTATGGCTTTTCCTCCACAGACTGGCTACACTACATGTCCAAAAGTCTGTAGACTCCAGTGTTTCTTCTGAAATGAAGGATGTTCATAGTGAGTTTGTCCTGCAGTAACAGCCTCTAATCTTCAGGGAAGGCTTTACAGTAGATGTTGGAACATTGTGGTGAGGATTTGATTGAGCATTAGTGAGGTCAGGTACTGATGTTCGGCGCGAGATCATATGTGAGCCACATCCGGAGTTATGAGCCTATGAAGAGGGGCTGAGATACACGTCATCTGCCTCTCACCATGTGGAACTGGTGGATTGGTGTGTCCGTCTACATTGTGTGTGAAACTGACCAATGGACACTCAGGAAATCAGTAAGGACTGACCATCATGCCGGAAACCCTTCATTCTTCATTCAGTCCACATCGGAGACTCATGTGAAACGGCGTGCAGAGAGTTTACAGCTGCTGAAGCTGCTGCAGCGGTTTTTGGAAAGTAGTGATGAAGATAACGGAGCATTTAGATATGAAACATATGAGGATCATGATATATGAAGAGCCTTTGACCCCATAAATGGCCAGAGCCCACTGGCAGGCCCAAAGTTTTATTACACACTTCTATAGTCTGAGAATAGCATAGCCAGTTTTCATTGAAGTCGCTGTAGTTACGGAAACAAAAGCCTTAGTCTGTAATGATTTTAAAGCGTTAAAGGCAAATTTAAGAAGATATGCAACTATAAAGAAAATGCCCTCCGACCCCAGAGGGTTATTTCTTCCTTTAACAAAGGATCACTAATGCTAGTTAGCACCACAGCCTCTATATCAGGGGCTAACAGTCAGGATTTAGCCCACAGGCATGCTGGGTATTGTAGTGAGAGAACGCTGACGGGCAAAATCACGTCAGACTAACGAGGCTGAGGGATGCAGTGCACATCAACTGCTAGTTTAAGGCCGGGTTGCCCCTTTAAAGTAGAGTCCACTGATTCTAAGTGTTGTCTTGATCCTTCTGGACATGTAGTGTACATCCAGTGTTCGTACAGCTGGGCACTTTATTTTTCTGAGTTACTGTATTGATTGAGAATCTAATACAGAAACCCAGAAATATATAAACACTTTTTCTTCTCCGTCGTTCTTGTGACTGAAGTGTTGAGCACATTATTAACTGTCCAGATCTGAGTCTTCTGAAGAAAATGTAGCCTGGAGCCAAAGACGGGCCGACTCCACTACCAGTCAGGATGACTTTAGGTAAAACGGTTCGTTCTGTGGTTTTCAGTGTTTGTGTCCTCTAAACTAAACAGGTGTTTCTGTCGCTTTTTCATCGTCTCGGGCTGCTCACGATGTGCCTAACCCACCGATCTGCTCTGACTGACTTTCTTCTCCAGTCTTCATCTTCACCCTGTAGCCCACATGAAGGTGTTCTTCAGTCTTGGAGTGTGTAAAGCTCTGTAGAGTCAATTAGGGCTGTCACTATTAATTGATTGCCAAAAAAAAAGTTAATTTCCCAAAAAAAGTAGTTAAAAGTTCCCTTCTTTATGAATTTGCATTATTTGGTTGGCAATTTTATATTAACCTCTCATGTTTTTCCTAATTGTTTTTTTTTTTCCTCTAAAGTAATATTTTTTTAATTTGTATATTTTGGATTTTTGCTCTATGTCTATGACAGGGGTCGCCAACAGGCGGCTCCAGAGCAACACACAGCTCTTTTACTGTCCTGTTGTGGCTCCACAGCTGAATTAGATTTGTAGGTAAAAATAAAATAATCCTCCTTTACAGTAAAATAAAGCTCTGCTGATCGTTCAACACAGTTTAACAATAAATGGTCTTAAACTCTGGAGTTAATGTAGAACTGCTGATTCACCCTTTAACCCTGAAGATCAGCACAGACTGCTGGTCACCATAGCAACACAGACAATAGTCTCGCCTAGCTGGTGGCTAACGAAACGGCAAAGAGAGAGATTTAAGATGAACATCGATAATTTGGAGGCGAATGGACTGATTTGTGTTTATAATCCCTCCAGCTGGTTTCCTGATACGTTTAATCTGCAGTGAGAAACTGACAAACACTAAAAAGTCGCGAAGCTGAAGTCGGTTTCTTATTCGCTAACTTTGTTTGAATTTTCCCGTTCCACCTTAAATGGTACCTGAAGCATCAGAATGTAACTGCTGCACCATTTAAGGTGGAACAGGAAATTTTGAAGGAGAAGATGCAAGAGAAATGCAGCTATAGCTGAGCTAAAGCTTAAAGCAGAGCAAAGTGAGTCTGTGTTTTTGTTTATATTATATTTTTAGTCTATACCAGCACATCAGCACATACTGAGACATATTTACAGCCAGGATGGTAAAACGTTACACCAGTAAAATGGTCATAAAATGTTCCCCAAGGTGTCTTGATTTTTGTTGAAAGGACAAAATGGCTCTTCTTAATGTTTGGGTTTCTGTCTATGAGAAGGTGTAAAAAATACTATACAATACAAGCAACAGTGAATCACTGTATGTGTTTTTATATGAAGAAAATACTGAAACATTTGATTTAAATAACATTCAGTAGCAGCAGAAAAAGTTCAGGGTGTAACGAATGGCTCTCACTCACTTAGTGCAGACTTAGATATTCCACAAGGGGGTGCTGTAAGTGGATTTGTGTGCCTGACTTGGAGTGAACCCACACCAGCAGGATCTCATGAGTGCTTGACCCCTCAGCCAGTTTCAGTTTCATTTAAAGAGTGGATGAAGTAAAATGAGTGCTTGAGGGTAGGGTATTCAGTCCTGCTGAAGTGCTGAAATATGTTCGGCAGGGTTTGTGCGGAAAATAACATTCGCTAAAACATATGTAAACATATCTGGACGATATAAGGACAAATTACACAAAGCGATTAATATGCTCAGAGATTTCTAGTGTTGATTTGTATTTGCTCCAGGATTTTGTCTGTGTTCTTTGCATCACAGAAATCGCAAAGCCCTAAAATTCCCAAACAGAAAAAAGCAGAGCCTGTTATTTGTTCATTTTGTTGTGACATAGTCACATATACAGTCTAAGCACATTGTTTCAGAGCATTTATCTTGGCTATAAGTGTGTTTATGCTTATAAAATCACCATATTAGAATATATACAAGTAAACATAAAACTGACAAACATAATAAAACATTAAAAAGAAAAAGTTAATTTTTAATAGTAGTTAATGTCTTATGAGCAAAGTTTCTGGATGCCTTCAGAGCTCACATGGAGTCATTAAACTCCATCAGCAGCGTCTGATTTAACTTGATGAAATATTGATTAGATAAACCAGCTGTTGGATAATAATTAGAAATTAAACGAACACAGTGCCATGCATAAGATCAATACTTATTAATGTTTTATGTACTTACTGTAATATTAGTGTTTTCTGAACAAGTAAATAATTACTCTCCAGTGTGTTCATGCAATAAATAGCATGAGTACTTTGTGTAGCAGTATTGAAAGACTCTGTAGCTTTAAGACTCTGATTAACTGATTATTAATGTGATTGATAGTGACAGCTCTGGTGTAAATCCATATAAAGGTGAAAATGGACAGACCGCTGTCTCTGAATGTGGGGCTTCAGTGGTGTGACTGATTCTGCTGCTGTCGTGTGCTCTGTGACTGTCCGTTGTTCTCATCAGCGCTTCATTAACTGCTTAACTGTCCGTCTTCTCACCGGCTGCTTCCTGTTTGGTGATCTCCATAGTAACTGAATTGCCGTTTCTTATAGCCTGACCCTGCTGGACTCCAGCCTGCCCGCCGAGGCGGAGCCCGAGCTGCGAAGCTACATCTCCCGCAGGCTGAGTAAAGGAGCCCTGCTGGGGGGAATGGGCAACATCGCCACGGTGGAGCTCAGGTATACCACCCCCCCACACCCACGGTCACTTAGGGCAGTCCTGGACTGAGCTGTACTAAAGTTTGTGTGTCCTTGGTTAACACTAGTTTAAAACTGCCCTTTTGATAAATTTGGTTGCTCCACAAATCCTTGCTTTACCTAGTAACAACTAACTAAAATGTTCTGGACATGTGCAGAACCTATAAATACAATAAATACAAAATACTTTGGCAGCATTTTTTAACTATCCAGTATAGAAAAGATCTTTGTGTACAAGTGAAACTGAACACCTGTTGCCATCGTCTGTTTATTCTTTAATATTTTTTTGGGACAAACAAAAACGCAGCTTTCATAAACAACAGTTTCTGGCTAACAGCAGCCGTGGGTGTTGGCTTCAAACCAGGGTGATGTTTAGAGCTGTAAGTACAATCATAGCACAGCAGCTGGTGTTTTTAGCTTCGTTAACCCTGTTTTTGGTCTTTGTTCTCTCTGTGTGCTTAAAATTGGTTTCCATAACACCTAAACCTGATGAGGGAGGTGTGAATGTGTAGGAACTAGTAAGCTCAACATTAAAAAACTAGTTTATGTGGTGCAACCCGGTTTGATTAAATCTGAACCTTGTAAACTCTTGTTACAACTAGCCAACGTTTGAACGTGCGTACAGCTGGTGCTGCCAGCATGCTGCCCACTCAGCACTCAGTGGCACTAATGCTGCCCAATCAGCGCTCAGTGGCAGTAATGCTACCCAATCAGCGCTCAGTGGCAGTAATGCTACCCAATCAACGCTCAGTGGCAGTAATGCTACCCAATCAACGCTCAGTGGCAGTAATGCTGCCCAGTCAGCGCTCAGTGGCAGTAATGCTGCCCAGTCAGCGCTCAGTGGCAGTAATGCTGCCCAGTCAGCGCTCAGTGGCAGTAATGCTACCCAGTCAGCGATCAGTGGCAGTAATGCTGCCCAGTCAGCGCTCAGTGGCAGTAATGCTAATGTTTAATTTTTTGTTTTTAGCTGTTTAGCTTCATTCACCCCCACTGAGGACTTGCTCGCAGGTGCCCTCTAGTGTTTTTCAGTCTTGTTTATGACGCAAGGAGTAACAGGAAGACGACAGACTCCCTTTAAACAGCGTCTGAGGCAATAAAGAAAGAATAAAAGAATGAACAGTTCAGTATTGAGCTTCTTTAGGTGTGATCCTGTTCTAACCCAGAGCCTCTATGTTCTGCAGTGTTCCTGAGCAGGCGGTGGGCTGCTACTGCTGTCTCCTGGAGCAGGAGAGGTCTCCAGAACAGCCAGAGGCAGACGGCAACGGCTGGGTGGTCTGCCTCCTCGGGGGCTCAGAGAAGGGCCTGAACTTATATCCTCAACCTCACTGACCGATCATCAGCTGTGTGGAGTTATTCCTCTTTACGATGCTCTCTTTTAGGAATACACTACTGCTCAAAAGAGTCATAATAACTGTTATTTAATAATAACTCATACAGTGTAGACTGAAATGCTGTAAACTAGACATCAAAGCTTAAACCAACACTTTATTCACAGTTTACAGTATTTTGGGAACAATGTAATGTTAGAGCATGGTAAAAAATATGTAAGAGTTCTTATATAATAAGCTATAATTTTCTGTTTATTGTAAAAACTCTGATTATTAGTGAGATTTTGGTTATGGGTTTTCAAATATGAGGCATTGTCAGTTTCTTTATCAGTTCATTCTCAATGCAGATTTATCAGATATCATGAATCACAGCTCATTTTATCAAAACATCTTCAGTTTTACAGCTTCATACAAACTGACTGAGACTTAGAAAGAAATTAGTTTCATCACAGAATCATTCTACACACACATCTTCAGAGAAACTGGTTTCATATAAGTGAAATAAGTGACCCTAAACTTGCGGTAGTCAATTTCTAATAATCAGTCTCAAAAACTGGTTGGTGAATTTCTTTAATCAACTTCAACGTTCAGAATTGAGCTGGATAAATACGTCCAAGGCCTGCAGAGCAGCCTGACTCCAGAAGTAAGATGAGTTTTCGATAATAGCCTCGATTATTCCTCAGTTTAGGACTCTGTTGTTGAACACTGCTGTCTTAATGCTGGTTGTGTACTTGTGCTAGATGCAGAATCTGGAGTCGGAGGTCCGGCCGTACCTGAGCCGCTGGTACGAGGAGTCAGTCATGCACATCCACAGAGTGGTGCAGCTGGTCCAGACTAACATCAGCTATCTCCTCTACGCCGTAAGAGAAGCCTGGTTTAGCGTCACTGTTACTTACAGTGTAGCTGACACAATTATTCAAATGTACAGCACTGTGCGAAAGTCAGAGACCCTTCAGTCATTTCGTTTTCAGTCAAAATGGCCATTTAACATTAGAGCTGCAACGAATAATCGATTAATCGTCAACTATTAAATTAATCTACAACTATTTTGATAATAAATTAATTGGATTGAGTTATTTTTTAAAAGGAAAAAGTAAATTCTCTGATTTGGATTCTTAAATTTAAGTTTCTTCACTCCTCTATGAAATGAAGTGAATGACTAAGTGAATACCAAATACCAACATTTACCATTTTCTGACATTTTAGAGGCCAAACGTATTGATTAATTGAGAAAATAATCAACAATGAAAGCAATCATTAGTTGTAGCCCTGTTAAACATAAAGTAAACATAAAATAAATTACACAGAATCCATAATAATTAAATCTCAGCTGTGTGAGTCAGTGAGTCACTCTTTCCCTTTATTCCAGCCTCCATTCTTTTCAGGAGACTCACTTTCAGTTCCTCAAAGAATCTGCAGACACACCTCCAAAGTTCAGTCTTAGAAGCTGGTTGATCATTTTCTGAAGCAATCAAACACATTCAGTGGTGTTGAGGTCTGGACTCTGGGGTGGTCAGTCCCTTGTTCTTTTTTTAATATATATATGTAATATATATATTGTAAACTTGTATTTAAAGGCAGTTTAAAAGGAAGGTAAATTAATGAGGAGTCTCTGATTTTTCAATAGGACTGTAATTACATAATGAATTATTCAGTTTGCAGTCAATATTAATTGACTAATTTAAAGTTGCACTTCTTACTTTATTTTCTGTGTCAATTTCAAATGTTTCACCAAACGACGTACGCAGAACACTTACTATTTAAATGATGATGACACATTTCTTCTTCTCACGAACACAGATGTGGCCGTCCCAGCCCTCTTTGGATATGTGTTTGTTTACAGTGCAGTCTCCGTGCTGCTTTATTGAGTGCTTTAGTGTCTGAGTGCAAAATTCGATCAGTAGCAGAAATTCCTGCTTTAAGATGGTGGGTGATTTAAAGATGTACATGTTGCTTTACGTTATGTGGCCACTAGAGGGCACTAGAAGATCAACTCAGTCACCCCCTGCTGGCCAGCCTAATCACTTGAAGTATCAGTGCACTTTTCATCACACCTGGTCTGGGGATTGTGAGATGAGCATGTCTGGTGTGGACGACTCTCTGATTTCTTTTGCAGGCTTTGAGTCACACTCATGTAGAGGTCACCGGAGCAGATGAGAGGACCAAGACAGATGTGGCGAGGTAATGAAACACAGCTTATTCAGTCCTCATATTCAGATATTGAGTACTTTAAATAACTAAGAGGGGGCAATATGATGAAAAATAACCACAGCACTTTAAGACTAGGAGTGCAACAGTACAACACATCGCTCCATTCAGTGCACACAGATATCAAACAACAGAAGTCCACAGTTGGTACTGATTACATTGCAAGAAGTATAATAAACCTTAAATAAACCCACAATGAGGTACAACCCCATTTCCAAAAAAGTTGGGACGCGGTGCAAAATGTAAATAAAAACAAAATGCAATGATGTGCAAATAATTTAAATCCTATATTTCATTGAAAATGGTACAAAGACAACAAATTAAACGTTGAAAGTGAGATTTTATTGATTTTTGAAAAATATACACCCACTTTGAATCTGATGCCAACAACACGTTCCAAAAAAGTTGGGACGGGGGCAAGAAAAGGCTGGTAAAGTTTTGTAATGCTGAAAAAAAACACCTGGTGGTTGATTGGCATCAGGTCAGTAACATGACTGGGTATTAAAAAGCATCTCAGAGAGGCGGAGTCTTTCAGAAGTAAAGATGAGGAGGGGTTCACCACTCTGTGAAAGACTGCACCATCAAATAGAGCAACAATTCAAGAATAACATTTCTCAACATAAAATATCAAAGAACTTCTGCTTTTCATCATCTACGGTACATAATATCATTAAAAGATTCAGAGAATCTGGAGAAATCTCTGTATGTGAGGGACAAGGCCCAAAACCAGTATTTGCTGGCCGTGATCTTTGGGCCCTCAGGCAGCACTGCATTAAAAACAGACATGATTCTGTAGTGGAAATCACTGCATGGGCTCAGAAACACTTCTGAAAACCACTGTCTGTGAAAACAGTTCATCACTGCATCCACAAATGCAAATTAAAACTCTAAAACGCAAAGAAGAATCTACACATAAACAGGATCCAGAAATGCTGCCACCTTCTCTGGGCCTGAGCTCATTTAAGTGAGGGGCAGTGGAAAAGTGTCCTGTGGTCCAACAAATCAACATTTGAAATTCTTTTTGGAAATCATGTTCCCAAACGCTTACAGAGTGTTGTTAAAGAAGAGGTGATGAAACACAGTGGTAAACAGGCCCCCGTCCCAACTTTTTTGGAACGTGTTGTTGGCGTCAAATTCAAAATGGGCATAAATGATAAAATTTCTCAGTTTCAACATTTGATTTGTTGTCTTTTTGTAGTATTTTCCTTTTATAAATATGGTATGTAAATCAGGTAAATGATTGCATTCTGTGTTTTATTTACATTCTGCACAGCGTCCCAACTTTTTTGGAAATTGGGATGTATTTCAGTGTGTACCCACATTATAAAAGCAGGATGTAAAAAGGTGATTTGTTTGTAGGTTCATTAAAGCGGCGAGTCTGCAGGGTCTGGTGCAGGAGGAGCCTTCAACAGCCTCTCTGTGCAAAACCGTCTCTGAAGACTCGCCCACTGACCTGCTGATCGACTGCGCCAGCAGCCCTCCAGCTTTCACCAACGCAGGTCAGCATCTCCACCACCGCCTGAAACGCAATAAGCTAAATATATACAAAATCATCATTTATAGGGCACTATTTATTGAGAGGTGTCCAGATTTATCAAGTTTAATTTTTAAAGAAAAAAAATGCTGTCCCATGTTTTCATGTCACTACCGAAACACAGTTTTAGTCAGTAGGTGGAGCCTTATTTTAGCCACGCCCCTGTATTTTAGAGCAGGAAGTGAGGCTGCATCCCTGTCCCTCATGGCCACATGGTGAGCAGTTAGATCCCATTGTTTTGAAGTAAATGAGTCCCAAAGTCTGAAAATCAGTGTGGAACATTAAGAATCGGCATATTTTCTGCAGTTCAGCCCTTTTTAGTGTTTTAATGTAAAATATGATGATTTTCTGTGTGAACAGCTGTTCAGAGCTGTGCTTGCTGGAGTTTCTGAGCTCAAAAAGAGCTAAAATTGTCACTGAAACAGTCACTACTGAAACAGTCACTACTGAAACACTTGATAAAGTTTGGGTAGAGTTATGATTGTTTTGGTACTGACAAAAATGAATTTCTAATCATTAGTTTTAATAAAATAAACATAATTAAGGTTTAGAGTCACTCAGAGCAAAAGGATTTTAGTCTGAAGTCCAAGATCAGTTAAAGGTCCCAAATGTTTCATCTCTGACTTTGAACCAGTTCAGTACAATCATCACGTCAGTGGTTATGAAAGGCTTATGTATGTGTTGTGTAGCCTTATGATTATGTAGCGTTATTGCTAATCATGATCACGGATCGGATGACATTGTGCCGCCGTAGTGTGATTTGAAATTCAAAGATAAATAATAGAAATTTTACAGTTTGCTTCCTTTAGGACTGACTTCCTGCCCCTGTCATAGTCCTGATTCTGTTTGACTCTGTGTGTCTAACACTTTAAAATGTATCCTCTACAGTGAGCAACCGCTTCTGTGATGACTGGATTCAGGCGTTCATCAACGCAGCCGAGCGCTTTAACCCGTTCCTTCTGCGCCAGATCCTGGAGAACTTCAAACTCAAGGTTCATGTCCACAGCAGCGCCTACATAATATATACACCGATCAGGCATAACATTCTGACCACCTCCTTGTTTCTACGCTCATTGTCCATTTTATCAGCTCCACTTACTATATAGGTGCACTTTGTAGTTCTACAGTTACAGACTGTAGTCCATCTGTTTCTCTGATACTTTGTTAGCCCCCTTTTACCCTGTTCTTCAGTGGTCAGGACCCCCATGGACCCTCACAGAGCAGGTACTATTTGGGTGGTGGGTCATTCTCAGCACTGCAGTAACACTGACGTGGTGGTGGTGTGTTAGTGTGTGTTGTGCTGGTCTGAGTGGATCAGACACAGCAGTGCTACAGTCTACAAAGTGCACCTATATAGTAAGTGGAGCTGATAAAATGGACAGTGAGCGTAGAAACAAGGAGGTGACTGAGTTGGTCCATTAACAGTGATCTGAAATGGTCTACTAGAACCAGTTAATGAAACCTGCAGTAAGAGAAGTTCTTCTTTGGCTGATGTTGGCGGAGGTCAGCCTGCATGTGAGGAATGGTCTACATTAATCTAGTACGCTTCAGTGGTCTGCTGTGGCTGCAGTGTAATGATTTCTGTCTGTCCGTCTAGGCCATCCAGGACATGAACAACCTGAAGCGGTTTATCCGGCAGGCTGAGATGAGCCACTATGCGCTGTTCCGCTGCTGTCTCTTCCTGCAGAGCTGTGGGAACGGAGACGTTTTGCTGCAGAACGCTCGGGCCGAGCACAGCGGCCTGCCCGAGGCCTGCAGCATCATCCGCGTTCTGGAGGAGTTCCTCGCCGAACAGGCTGTGGGCACGGTGCAGTAACACCTCGCAGCCTGCGGGGGGCCGCAGAGGGTTACTACCAGAGTGCACGGCCCATTACACTGAGTTGCTAGTTTAGGTACACCTGATATCTGCCACTCTTATAGTGGTCACTTTGCAGTGATGGACAGGATGGATACATTGTGCAGCCATAGATGTGCTGTGGTCGGCAACTTTACCTAATAAGTGTGCTTATATGATCTAGGGCTGGGCAATATGACAAATATATATCGTTATCATGATAAATTATGTCACAATACACTTAGAACACTGACCAGCTGCATGTTTCATTATAAAGAGAGCAAAATTAGTCCCGTTTAACTGGATTTAGTGCCCAAATATTGATAAAAAATCACTGTGTTCACAGTTTTTGATAGTATTTTTAAAAATGTAGCACTACTTTCTCTTTTTTCTCTGGTCCAACTGATCAGATAAACATTGACATATCGTGTATCATGAAAAGTTCTTGAAGTATCGCAATATTGGAATTTTGCCATATCGCCCAGCTCAAATGTGTTCAATGAGTGCATGTTGTAATAAACTGGCAACTCAGTGTATTTATGAGGGGCATTTTGATGAAGGACCATTTAGGGTCCACACGTTCCTCGTTTACACCTGGCTGTTTCATGTGGCTTCATGTATCTGGATGAGATTTAAACCACATGCTTTTACATTTGGTTATCAAATGCGTCTCCAGTTAGTCCGATTGAAACCTGATTGCTTTGTGGCACATAATATGCAAATCAGCTCATACAACAACCAATCGCCTGTGGTTTATTCGTTTTCTTGCGCCGGCTTTACACCCACGTTTACAGGAAGACGGCTGTTTAGAATGAGCAGCCTCTCTGATGAGTCGTCACAGTCGTGAACCACGTGCTAAAATGGTGAATAACGATGAGACGAGGTGACGGTTAATCAAACTAGAGCTTTATTTTAACGAGCCTGGGCTGCTGAAGACTCCTGACTTAAACTGAACTGAAGGAGCAGCGGCGTCTCTGGTTAGTGGGGCCAGTCCAGTGGGTGGAGTTTTACCTTTATGCAGAACAGGGGGAGGAGTCACAGTGCTAGGAGGGTTTTGATGGTCAGAGGCAGATGTATTAACACTTGTATAACGTCAGGCGGCGCTTTGATTAATTTAAATGTGGTTTAAACAGGTGCACTCACACCTGAATTTACGCTTGTTGAGTGGTTATCAAAAAAGCTTATAGTTGAGTTGCAGAACAGCTGCAGGATAACAGTTAGACAGATAATCAGTTTTATAGCTGTCAATTACAGTTTAAAACTCTAATTACAACCAAAATATATGTTGTTAAATGCTGTTGTTATGACAGTAGTGACACAGCTGGAAGCACCGGTCCTGGAGTATAAACACTTCTCTGCTGTACGATGATCGTTTGTTGACTTATTCTATAACAGTTATTAACAGTTCTTCCTTTTTATGTTTAACTATCACCCAGACAAAGAAAGCTGGAACCTAAACAGCTCCGATTTCTTGCTGTGTTTCATCACCTGCGTTCCAAACTGCAAAACAGTGCACTCACTACTGAGGAGGTGAAGTATGCTCTCTAAAAGATGGTTCTTTAGTAAGAAATTGGTTCCATACAGAACCATGTACACTCAAAGAACCCTTTGCATGATTAAAGTGTTTTTTGCATCATGAAAGCGTTCTTCAGACTGAGGGGAGAATGTTTGGAAAGGGTTCTATATAGCACCCAAAGGGGTTACAAGCTTGACATTGTAACAGTAGAAGAACCCTTATATAGAACCATTTTCAAGAAGGTTCTATAAAGAGCCATCTACAGTGCATACTGCATCAATCAATGAAGAACCATTTCATGATGCAAAGAACCCTTTAATCAAGCCAAAGAACCCTTTTTTGGTACTGTGTAGAACCCTTTTTGCTAAGAGTGTAGCAGTGTGTAATTTGGGATGCAGTGTTAGATCAGCCAGTGAGACGCGTTCAACAATCCAGCAGCTCCAGGTTTGTTTTTTTGCTGTATGTGAGCTGATGTTGGTCCCGTCCACTCCAGTCCAAATCTGCACCCTCTGCAATCTCCAACCGGATAGAATCCCAATATGAGAGACACAAGAAACATCCAGGTGTAAACAGGGTCTCAGACTTGCTCATCTTCTAATCTGGAGCAAGAGTCTAGTCAGATGCTAAGACTAAAAAGCTAAACTAGTCTAAAACTGGTATAACTGAATACCACCTTCTCTAATCACAGCGTGAGGATGGTCACTCGCTGAAAATCACGCTGACATGTGGAGCTCAACTGCGTGAGACCAGTTCTATTGGTTTGGTTTAGAATCGGGGGAAATAGGATTGTTGATTTTGTGAAGACCGAGCAGATCCCGTAAAAAAGGATGAACTGGAACTGACCAACTGCTCAAGCTTTATGTGTACCTCATCATTCTCAGCAATATGTAACAGTCCAGTAGATTAACTGAATAATACTAATGAAATAAGACAAATGAGCTATTACTGAATCACAGCTTTGAAAATCTTCAGCTATAGTGTAGTTGTTAATGTTAAAAGCAGTCCACCGTGGTTGTGCCACTTATGCATGAACTGTTAATGAAGTTCCTTTGTGTTGCATTTTTTAGGTGCAGTTTTGAATTTTTTGTGAGTACTGTGCAGAAGTCAGAGACCACCCTTCGTTATTTAAACTGCTGTAACGTAGAAGTTGTTAATTCTCCTGGAGATGTTTGATGAGATTATATATGAGATGATCCTCTTGCTTGAGGAAGAAGTTTAAAAAGTGATTAAAAGCTACAGAGAAAATGTGGCTCCTAACAACCACCTGGAAGAGCTGGTCAACCCCAAAACTGCCCCCATCAGATAAACAGCACTTAAAGCCTTCATCTCTGAGAGAGAGGAGAAAATCAAGCTGCTCAGATCTGAAAACATCCACAGGTGTTTCTGTCCATCGTTCCACTGTGAGAAGACGACTCAGCGCTGTGGGTCTGAAAGGATGTGTAGCTGTCAAGAAGAACCTCACTGAGAAAAGGAGACGGACACATCAAACAAAGAAGCTGAACGATGAACTGACCACCCCAGAGTCCAGACCTCAGCACCACTGAATGTGTTTGATTGCTTCAGAAAATCATCAACCAGCTTCTAAGACTGAACTTTGGAGGTGTGTCTGCAGATTCTTTGAGGAACTGAAAGTGAGGCTCCTGAAGAGAGTGGAGGCTGGAATAAAGGGAAAGAGTGACTCAATGAACACTGAACAGCTGAGGGCAGATTTAGCTGTCGATGTTTCCTCCCCTGGACTCTGATATTGTACTTGAAAGTGAGGTCTCTGACTTTTGCACAGTACTGTATAGGTGGGAAGATAAATCTACTGCAGTGTCCCAAAATGCTGGTGAAACAGTAGAGCATGACCCTGACCATGAGTAACACTACCTGCCTTATGTTCCTGATTGGACTCTGAGATGCTGTAGGTTTAAAGCATCGTATAATGAAGAAGTTGCTTTTCTGTATAAGCTGACTAAAACGTACCTTTTCTCTCCAGTGAAACACAGTCCAGCATTCCCTCAGTCCATGTCAGCCCAGCGGTCTTATTCTAGCAGAGAAGAACCTGAATATGAACTATTTATGTAGATCTAATGTGATTAAATGTGTAAATGCATTTTAAAAGACAAATCACATGATTTTGTGGTTGTGTGGATTTGTAAATATTTTGCTCTAGCTGTGAAACTGCGACGTCCATAAAGTTCCAGTTTGGAAATGCCAAAAAAAAAAAAACAGCCACAGCTGCTGGAGCTTCAGTGTCTGTTGTGTGTTGTGTGGTGCAGTGTTCCGTTTGAGATCCTCAGTGTTTTGCACTTTCCTGATGTGGTCCAGTGGCTGCAGACATTCCCAGTTGGGTTTGTGTGTCCAGACGGACCTGGATCATAAAGCTGGATTTCTCAGCAAGCTGGATAAGTTTCCAAATTTCTGCATTAAAATGTAATCAGAGAGATTCAGAGAGGTTTGGTATGAAACGGTTCCGATGTCTTTACAGTGGTGGTGATAGGAACCAGGGGTCGCCATGACTACAACACAAATATAGACATTTTATTTACTATCCAGAACCACCAGTGAACCTACACGAGTCTTCTGAGTCTATATGGAGTGTTGATGATGGAAAATAGTGGAAAATCTGAAATAATAAGTTTTCCTTGGGGACTATTTTGCCTCAGAGCACCCTGCATGTATCCCTCCACCATCAATGGAGTTTAAGTTCTCTAAACTATCATAAAACAGTGTCTCAGTCATCAGGCAGTGAATTCATAACCATTTACTGTAGGAACTTTCTGTGAGGGAGCTTTTAGAGGTGGACGTCTGGTTCCTATCACCACCACTGTGAACAGTTCTGACTCGGTAAGTTTCTCTAGAACAGAGCGTTTCACACTGAACCACTCTGAACGGCTCTGTTTACATCTCAACTAATTAATTATGCAGAAATTGTGGAAAAAATATCAGACCAAATTGGACAATCTTGACTTCTAGCTTTAGTTATGTTGCTCGCTGAGAAACCCTGCGTTGTGAAAAACCACCTGATGTGATTATTTGTTAGTTTGTGTGCTGTGAACATTTCATCCTCTGTCTGATTCTGTAAAAGTGATTAAAGTGATCAACACAGTGGGCGTGTCCTGAAGTCTCTGGGCTGGGTTTGAGTTGCCGTGGTTGGAGTGAAGGCCAGAGTGTCGGAGGTTTATTTCCTCCTTAGCACCAACGCAAAAAACCAACCACACCCTGCTTTTCATCGTGAGCAATTCTACTCAGTTTATTTTAAATTTTCTGTTGTCAGGAATTTCCTCATATTGGCAAACTGGATCTGCACAAGTTAAAATACAAATATACACTCTGAGCACTTTATTAGGTACATCTACCTTGTAACCACACTCATACTTATCATCACACATGTGAATCAGACACAGCAGTGCTGCTGGAGTTTTTAAACACTGTGTCCACTCACTGTCCACTCTATTAGACACTCCTACCTTGTCAGTCCACCTTGTAGATGTAGAGTCAGAGACGATAACTCATCTGTTGCTGCACAGTTTGTGTTGGTCATCCTCTAGACCTTCATCAGTGGTCACAGGATGCTGTTGGCTGGATGTTTTTGGTTCTCAGTCCAGCAGCGACACTGAGGTGTTTAAAACTCCAGCAGCACTGCTGTGTCTGATCCACTCAGACCATGAACACTCAAAGAACCATTTGCATGATTAAGGGTTCTTTGCATCGTGAAAGGGTTCTTCAGATTGAGGAGAATGTGTTGTAGACAGTTCTATATAGAACCTTTTTAAAAAGCATTCTATATAGCACCAAAAAGTTGTTACAGGATTGACATTGTGACAATAGAAGAACACTTTCTCTCCAACAATCTGAAGAAAAACTATTTAACGATGCAAAGAACCCTTTAATCATACAGACAGTTCTTTGAATACTCATAGTTCTATTTGGAACCATTTAAGCTAAATGGTTACTAACTAAAAAACTAACTAAACTAAACCAACTAAAGAACCCTTCAAGAACCATCATTTTTAAAAGAGTAGGATTCACTAAATTAAGTAGCTCCAATCTGAGAGGTGTTGTATCTGGCTGGATATTTTTGGTTGGTGGACTATTCTCAGTCCCAACCAAATAATACCTGCTCTGTGGGGGTCCTGTGGGGGTCCTGACCATTGAAGAACAGGGTGATAAGGGCTAGCAAAGTATTCATCAATTAAAGGGGAATTCCACTAATTAAAAGCTTGAGATTTTCCCATCATTATCATGACAGGGAGTGAGTCTGTGGTTGGGCTGCAGTTCAGCCTTTATAACTCATAAAAATAAAACTTCATTCGCTTATCTGCCCAGTATTTGAGTTAAACAGAATATATATATATATATATATATATATATATATATAATATATATATAATAAGCATAAAATAACTAAAAGCAGTGCCACATTTATGTTTAACAAAGCAGTAATAACACCTGTTATTATAGCCCAGTAGATGGCAGTGTGTGACAAGTAATCCACAGCTCTTCCACTGGAGGACGCTCGAATAGAGTCCCCAGTTTTATTAAAGAAACGTGCAAAAGGTGAAAAGAGATAATCACTGTAGAGAAATACTAGCATGTTCAGTCAACTGTGCATTACAGAACTGACCCCAAATTGACTAAAGCACAACGCTGACCGCTGTAGACGATGAGTGAAGGTTTTAATTTCAAATGAACATTATAGTTGCCAATGGGCAGAGACCTTGTTCACATTGACCTTAAAGGTTGAGATGAACTGGAACAGACTCCCAATTAGTGCTCCCGCTAATGTGATGTGCTCTTTAGGGCCAAAACCAGCGTCACCTCAGAGCCTGCTGTGCTCGCAGCCTTAAACGCCTTATTTTCCCAAGAATTCCCCCAAGAACATTTATTTTTGGGAGTGCAGAGTAATGTATAGATTCCTGCCTTTCAAATCAGTGATTTGGCAGATACCCAAGAAGGTCGTGGCTCACTTAAAAGGGGAATTTCCTCATAATTAAGCGGTTAAACAATAAACAGAGTGGTTTGGTGTGAAACGCTCTGTTCTAGAGAAACTTAC